TTGCTCAAACATAAAATCCCATTTCACGTTATCGAAAGCTTTTTGTGCATCAAGAAAAATTAAACTCATTTGCTTTTCATTGTGCACCTCATAATACTCCAAAATATCTAGAATAATCCTGACATTGTTTCTTATGTATCTTTTGGGTAAGAAACCATTTTGGTCAGAGTGTATAAAATCTGCTAAAAATCTTTCAAGTGTTTATTCTTATTATTATTAAGAAACAGCAGTATTCCAGTATTTGAGGGGCTGCCACAAAGAAGAGGGCATCAAACTATTCTCCAAGGCACCAGAGAGCAGGACAAGAAACAATAGTTGGAAACTGACCAAAGAGAAGCAACCTGGAATTAAGAAGAAACTTCCTAACAGTAAGGACAATTAACCAGTGGAACAGCTTGCCTTCAGAAATCATGGGCACTCCATCACTGGAGGTTTTTAAGAAGAGATTAGACAGTCACTTGTCTGACATTGTATAGGTTCTCCTGCTTGAGCAGGGGGCTGGACTAGAAGACCTCCAGGGTCCCTTCCAGATTCTATTCTATTCTATTCTATTCATCTGATTCCTGCCTTCATCTTACACTGCCACTATGTATTGGATTGTCTCTGAGGCCTCTGCTTCTATAGATATGGTACCTTAGTCCCTGTTCTTGTACTACTATGATCAGTGCCTCAGTCCTGTCTTTACACCAGTCTTTTCCAATGTCTGCCAGCTCAGTTATCTGTCGATGGTAAATCCCAAGCAGGGTCTTCCCTTGCCATCGCACTCCTTCTACTTGATCTTCCTCCAATATCTGCTACTGCCTTAGGCATTCTCTTAGTAGCTCATCTTTGGGTGCCATCTTAGTGATGTACTCTTGGATGCTCTGGGTATCATCAACGACAATGGCTTTGACACTTACCAGACCCCAACCACCCTCTTTCCTGCTAGTGTACAATCTCTGGCTGTTAGACTTGGGGTGGAAACCCCAAGTCTATTGTGAGGTGCATTGTGTACATTGTGAGGTGCTTTTGGGTCTTTATATTAGCAGCTTCCATATCCTTCTTTGCCCAGCTTGTTAAATTGTCAAGGTATCTAATGACTAGGAGACAATATATGTTGACAATATATGTTCTTCCCATTAAGCTAGCTCTTTAGGAACTGTCTGATTTTTTTGGTGGTACTTCGTTGTTGCTATCTTCCTTGCCTCCTCATCGTGGTTCCCATGTGACTGTAGGACACCAAAATAATTGTAATTGGTTTATATGTCTGCTGTGCGACCCTCTAGTAGTTCCATTCCATCAGTCTTAACTACTTTCCTTCTCTTGACCACTATCCAGTTACACTTCTCTTGTCTGAATGATATCCCAATGTCCTCACTATAAATCCATGTCAGACCCCTGGGCTAGACAGAAGCCTCTCCTCAGTGGAAAACACAAGAAAGCCTGCTTGGAGTTTGCAAAAAAGCACCTGAAGGATTCTCAGACTATGGGGAACAAGATTCTCTGGTCTGATGAAACCAAGATTGAACTGTTTGACCACAATTCTAAACCTTATATCTGGAGGAAACGAGGCACCACTCATCACCTGCCCAATATCATCTCAACAGTGAAACATGGTAGTGGCAGCATCATACTGTGGGGGTGTTTTTCAGTAGCAGGGGCAGGAAGACTGGTCAAGATTGAGGGAAAGCTGAATGGAGCAAAGTACAAGGATATCCTCAATGAAAACCTGTTCCACAGTGGTCAGGACCTTGGACTGGGCCAAAGGTTCACTTTCCAACATGACAACTATCCTAAGCACACAGCCAAGACAACACAGGAGTGACTTAGGGACAACTCTGTGAACATCCTAGAGTGCAAGGAATATTGGCAGAAAATTTCCCAATCCAGGTGTGCCAAGCTTGTTGCGTTATACCCAAAATGATTCAAGGCTGTAATTGCTGCCAAAGGTGCTTCAACAAAGTACTAAGTGAGGGGTCTGAATACTTATGCCAATATGATATTTCAGTTTTTTCTTTTTAATAAATTCATAGACATTTCTAAAGGTCTGTTTTCACTTTGTCATTATGGGGTACTGAGTGTAGATTAATAAAAAAAATGAATTTCAATAACTGTAGAATCAGGCTGCAGCATAACAAAATTTGACAAAAGTGAAGGTCTGAATACTTTCTGAATGCACTGTATAATAATAATATCATTTGATTTGAAAGCAGAGCTCTCCATCTCTTTTCTCTATTATAGCGTGCTCTGTCTATGTAGCATGCAATAATAAACATTTGAAAAAATATTTTCAGCGTTGATATTAATATGCAGCAAATAATAGAGTTGGAAGTTGTAATTTAAGCTCTCACCAGTGCATAAATGCAAATTAAAACACCCCAGTCTCCCGTTTCAAACACATCCAGTGTGTTCACATCACTATCTATCTAAATGCTTCATTCCATTTTCTTACTGTTAGAAAATCTTCATTAATATTTAATTAATGATCCAACATTCTGCAGTCAGAGCATCCTTTTTGAACAGTGCTTGATATTCCCTCCTTTAGTTGTCTTTCTCAAAATTAAACGTTTCCATTTTAGGTTGTGCTCTCCAGATCATGCTTCAAGTTTTCTGAATTTTTCTTTAAACATTGTATCAGAAGGAGATGCAATATTCAAGTTTAGGTCTTATCAACACAGAAGAAAATAAGGCAATTATATCCACTTATTTGAAACTATATTTTTATTTATACAGCAGTGGCCAAAATTGTGGAAATCTTTTGGGGAAAGCGTACTTTTGAGGTTTGATGGCTAATAACACCACCTTTTGGGGAGTAGTACCATAAAATTATATATCAATGGAAAGATAATTTAATCAAGAATGTAATGCAACGAAGTTTGTTCAATTATCTGTACTGTATAACTATGAAAAGTTATAGCCAAATAACCAGAAAAAGGAAGCACAACTTGCTTAGGTTGATATCAAGTAGCTTTCCTTCATCTGATTGTAGCCAATGAGCATGAGTATTTAGAGAGCCAATCAGCTATCATCTTGTTTTGGCAATGAGCCAATCAGATCACAGTAGGATTCAGTTATTGATGTCCTGTATTGAAGCTGAGAGGAGGACATTTGTCAGTGTGTTATGTGATCGCTATCAAGTTGGTTGGGTTTTTTTGTGTTCTTTCATTTAGTGAGCTTGTAAAAATGTAATAAAATTAAAGTAATGGTGCAAAGAGTTGACTGGTTGCCCAGAAAGTAATGTAAAATAGTATTATTAAGTGAACAAGGCTACAGTTATAAAGAAATTAGAAGAAAAAATGGTGGAAACTTAACCAAAGGTGGCATTTCTACTGTACACTTTCCCCAAAGGTTTCCACAATTTTGGCTACTACTGTATGTATGAAAAACAGAGTTCTTGAAGGATTTTGAATCAAGGACAAAGGAAATTAGAACCATCTATCCCATCTTGTCTAAAAGAAAGCTATAGTGAATTTTCCTGATGTGCTCTGGTTTCAGTGTTTATGCATTCTGAATAAAATCCCAAGTTTCAGATCATTTTGAATCATTGCCTGCTCATAACAACTGTTCTTCATCTTCTAGAAGAATGGATCTTACTAAACTGACCAATTTTAGTTATTGCTGAGAATACCTAGTCTGTGGTATTCATGTATTCTTGGGAGAAGGCCTGGCTGCTAATAAATTGCATAAATCTGAAATATCATATTGTCTTATCAAAAGTGTTCCACAACTGTTCTCTAAGTGCCAACAACTTGTGTTGATTAGAAAATTCAAATTATTTTAAAACACATTCTTGTTATGTAGCTTATAGGTAGTCCTCAACTTTGAACCTTGTTCAAAGTTATGACAATATTGAAAAAAATGATTTGTGACTGGTTCTTGCACTTACCATCACAGTATCCCCATGGTCACATGATCAAAATTGGGCACTGGCAATTGCCCTTTTTTTCTGATGTTTGCAGCCTCTCGGGATCATTTGATTGCCATTTGCAACCTTCAGGGAGCTTCCAACAAGTAAAGTAAATGGGGGAAGCCAGATTTGCTTAACGGATGTATGATTTGCTTAACAACTGCAGCAAAAAGATCATAAAATTGGGCATAGCCCATTCAACAACCACATCACTTAGTGACCGAAATTCCAGTTCCAATTGTGGTCATAAGTTGATGACTACCTGTATTAAGCCCATTTCCATATTGATTCCAGAGTATAAATATTGACTTTGTAAAGAATAGTGTACTTGTCTACTTTTGACAATTTTGAGACTTTTAGCAAAGACCTCATAATATTTCTGTTTATATTTTAAATATTTCTTTTTGCAGTTGATAGATGTCTTTTTCTTCTTGTTCCTCTTTGCGGTGTGGATGGTGGCTTTTGGTGTAGCCAGACAAGGGATCCTACGAAAAAATGAACAGCGTTGGGAATGGATATTCCGATCAGTCATTTATGAGCCTTACCTTGCAATGTTTGGCCATTATCCTTCTGATATTGATGGTATCTATTGAACTATAGTACTAATCAGTAAGGGGTTGGTGTAATTGGGAAACAGATACACTTATATTTCCTTTTGTCATTGTGGTTTGCTTGATGGGGGAGGGGTAGAACTGAGGGTTTATTTTATTTCTCTGAAAAATTCTGATTATGCTTGGTGTTAGTTTTGAATTATAGAAAGTTAGAATGAAAATGATAATGTATAATTCAGAAGGTCTTTCATGCTGGATTTAGATGCTAGTGTTATTGACAGAAAAATATGCCGAATGACTCTATTGGACTACTTGTCTTTCCTTTTTATGAGACTTAGGATTTCTACTCAACTTTTATTCTTTATGACTGAAAAAAAGTTTTTTATGATTCCTGGTCACTATGTCTATTGTTAATGAATAAGTTGCTCCTGATCTATATTCTGCTACATAACAAAATAGAAAGAGGAAACAAAAAATGTCCATTCAAGTTAGTGCTCAGAATGCTGCTGTTCTTTTTTGTCCTGCACATGCACCTTTCTTTGTTCTGAGCGAAAAGATTCAGCTACCTTGTCACTTCCATCATTAGAAAAACTAAGGAATGGCCAAAGCAAAGTTGCCCAAATAGTTGTGCTCAAGAGGAAAAAGGGAATGCTGGAGAATAATCTTGGAGCTAGAGCATGCAGCTGCAAATGATACAGGATTGAGAAAAGGATACTCTGCACAAAGGAGTTTCATTGCTTTCTGCCTTCCCCCACTGAAGACAGGTTTAGCAGCTGAAGCACTTCTGAACCAGAACACCTGCAAGGGCATGTACCCTTGATCTTGATTGCCTAAAGCTATACCTAGTTAATATGGGCATGGTTAAGAAAGAGCATTGGCAAACACTCCATAATTTTCTTCTTGGAAAATTAACAAGAGATTAAAGTAACACTGTTTAAGCTGGAGGATAAGTAAAATTTCCCCAAAAACCAAACTCTCCTCTTCTGATTGATAAACCTGCCCCGGGTAGGTCCCCTAGGAAAGAAAGACCATCAATTCCATTTGGTTGAAGTGATAGGTTCTTTTACTAAAGGATACTAGTTGCAGCAAAGACAGGCTAGAACTAAGTTTTCCCGCATGAAGAAGTTAAAAATTGTTCCCCGCATCCCAGCCCTCTTCTCATCATCTTCAGCCAATGAAGTGCTATATAGGTGTTTAAAGAAGCACTGAGATGTTTGGAGTTGTCCATATCCCCATACATATTTATTGCCCATTTGTTCACCCCATGCTCCCCCTCCACCTAGAGTTTGATGGCAGGATGCCAGCGAGGTGCCAGCTGAAGATGGCAGACCTGACAGTTTCTTGCAGAAATCAGGATCCATCTTGCAGACATCTTGCAGACAAGATGGCGCTGCCGACAGCAGTCTCAGTGAAATGCTCTCTGATAGTTTTGTTGTTTTTTTATTATTCTCTGTCATTCACTTTGGATTTCATACTCAAGAGACCAACTGATAAGCATCAAGCAACATTTTTTTAATGGGCAGCTTTCTGTGACTACACCCTCGCCCCCCTCCCATCTTTACAAATGCAAAGGAGATTCTCATTCAGGAAGTGGCAGCCCTCTCTGAACAATGGAAAAACAAAAACAAAAGGAGGAGATGACGAAGACGGAGAAGAGGTAAGCGAGCAGATATTATGAATAGACTAAGGAAAAGTGGAATAAAAACTCCTCTTCCTTCACTCTTTCTGATTAATTTATGTTCACTCACTAATAAGATGGATGAAATACTTCCTTTAAACAGATGCAACTCTAATTTTTACAACTCAGTAGCCCTTTGCTTCACTGAAACATGGTTAAATGAGTCAATTGATGAGAGCAGCTTGCATATCCCAGGGTTTTGAATACAGAGAGCAGACAGAATTGCAGAAACATCTGGTAAAAAGAAGGGAGAGTGTCCCTGTTTTTATATTAACAACCGATGGTACAAAAATGTAACTACACTAAAGAAATTCTGTGATGTGGACTTAGAGACATTAATTATCAATTGCAAACTATTTTATTATCCACGAGTTTTCTTCATTCCTTCTATTTGCAGTGTATGTTCCTCCACAAGCTTGCATAAACAATGCATTACAAACTGTAGCTGACCAGATTATGTGGGCTGAAGAAAAATATCTTGATTCACTCCTCATTGTGTTAAGAGATTTCAACAGTGCTAACTTAAGCCAAGAGCTACCAAAATACTTTCAGTATGTCAACTGTCTTACTAGAGGCAAGAATACTTTAGACTACTGCTACATAACATTAAAAGATGATTATCTGTCTTTACCACAAGCAGCTATGGGGCACACTGATCATTATATGATTTACCTTGTAGACAAAGACTTAAAATCATAAAACCAACAATTAAATCAGTGAAGTCTTGGACTGAGGAGGCAGTTAAAGTTATAGGCTTGCCTTGACTGCACAGATTTAAATGTTTTTGAAGATACCTCTGCAGACTTGGATGAATTCACAGATACTGTAACATCATATGTCAGTTTTTGTCAAGGCCTATGTGTCCAGAAACCTGTGAATATACATTAACAACAAGTCTTGGTTCACAGCTAAACTCAAGCAGCTACGTCATACCAAAAGGGAAGCCTACAGAAAGGAGATAGAATGCTGTACAATCAGGCCAGAAATGTATTAACAAGGGAGATCAGAGCAGCAAAAAGAAGCTACTCTGAAAAGCTACAGAATCAGCTCTCAACAAATGAACCAGCAAATATGTGGAAAACTCTTAAAAATTCAATGATTACAGCAAACCTCCTTTCCATGCTGAAAGGAATCGACAACTGGCAGATGACCTGATCATGTTTTACTGTAGGTTTGAGAGGAAACCACTGTTACCTATTACCACCATCTCCATCTCAGATACACCAACAACAGCCAAGCCTCCTACAACTGATACCATCCCTTTGGGGCCCCCACCTCTGGTGATCACAGAAAATGATGTGCAAAGTCTATTTTACAGACAAACGCCTGGAAAAGCACCAGGCCCAGACAAGATAATTCCTTTTTGCTTGAAAGCTTGTGCTGACCAACTGCCCCTCATCTTCACCCACAGCTTTAATAAATCACTAGAGATGTGCTATGTTCCTTCTTGCTTCAAATGCTCTACTATCATCTCAGTGCCAAAGAAACCCTCCATCAAGGAACTGAATGACTACAGACCAGTTGCTCTGACATCCATAGTTATGAAAACCTTTGAAAGGCTAGTGCTGGCCCACCTGAAAACCATCACGGATTAGACCCCTTACAATTTATCTACCAAACAAATAGATTAGCAGATGGTACTGTTAATATGGCACTGCACTACATCCTACAACATCTTGAATCTCCAAGGACTGATGCAAGATCCTTTTTGTAAGCTTCAGCTTGGCATTCAATACCATCATTTCAGATATTATTCTAACTAAACTAATTCAGTTAGCCGTGCCTTATAAGTGGATCATAAGCTTTCTAACAGACAGGAAGCAGCAGGTGAAGTTAGGCAAAATCACATCAGATACCTGTACAATTACACAGGGGGGGCAGGGTTGTGTGATCTCTCCACTTTTCTTCTCTTTATATACCAATGACTGCATCTTAAAGATCCCTCTGTTAAAGTACTGAAGTTTGCAGATGATACAACAGTGATTGGTCTCATTGAAGACAATGACAAATCTGCATATAGATGGGAGGTTGAATAACATGCCTTGTGGTGCAGCCAGAACAAACTTGAATTGTCAGATCCTCAAACTATCTATTCATCTCATTTTATTTTTGGGTACTGCCATCCTGTTGGGAAGGGGGAGGTTTTGTTCTTTAGGGAGGGGGAGGCTGTGGGTTTTGGGATGTATTTCCTTTACTTTGTTCTTTTCACCTTTGATGCATCCATCTGGGTGTGAAAGGGAGAAAGAATGTGCCTGGGGCCATCTACCTTATCTCTGCTCCTGTGGGAAGAGACCGGGAGGAACACAGAACACCTGAAAACTGTGGTTTTATCACTCCGGTTTCCATAACAACTTCTCACCTGTGGATTGGCCAAAATCATACTGGATATTGGGCACTGGGGAGGGGTTTGAAAGGAGAATTTTAATGTAACGTTTTGAGTGGGAATTACTCAGATCTTGCCTTGCTATCCTGCTATCACTATCTCTCAATAAAAGTTCCTTTTGAAACGATGCCAGTTTCAGGAGTTCTGCTTTCTTGGGAATGCTAGCTGAGGCAGGACCTTACATTAGGCAAGATCTGCAAAGTGGTCAACCCAGAGAGGCATCCACCCTACTGTGGGGACCATGCACACTATGTCACTCCATGGCAGCAAGCAGGATGAGACTGAATGCTGGGAAGAGTCCACCACCAAGACTCAACCTGAAGAGAGCCCCTCTGGAGGTGGTTGATTGGCATGGGAAAAAGGGAAGACTGGGATGGAAGGACCCAAAGGGTAACTTTAACCCGGGGCAGCCAAAAGCAGGGCTGGAGGCACGAAATGGAACTGCTCTACAATGATGAAGAGACCAACGGAGAGCAGGACCCAACTGACCAGATCCTGAAACAGGTAATGCACTTCATGGTGGAAGCTTTTCAGGATCTGAAAGTGAAATCTGGGTGGCGCAGAGGTAAGACCAGGTCTATAGCCACTAAAACTGCAGCAGGGGCAACTGGCTCTACTGAGATGGTGGCAATCACCTCAGTCACCCTACATCAAGCTGCCCCCATAGGGGTGAACATCCTACAAGCAACCAGAGAATGAGCCCCGCAACCTGAACCAAAATTGGTCCCCCTTGGGGTGAAATTCAATGGGGATCTCCAACAGTTGGGATTCTTCCTCGCTCATGTTCTCACATATATGCAAGTTTATGGGAGACCCCTTCTCAGCGAGAAAGCTAAAGTCAGGGTTGTCACCCTGGCCCTAGAAGGCACTGCAGCCCAGTGGATGGTAACCCTGTACAACTCCGACACCCCGGAGCTCCAAAACTTTAACCGCCCTGTAGCTGAGTATGTGGAGGAGTTCTGAGACCTGG